GAACAGTGTTTACTTTTGAGAAGGCACTGCAATAAGTCACTGTAACATTTTATATCCTGAACAGGACAGTGGTTTCACAAGTGCACACATACAGAAATCCATCACACTATATATCTAAGATTTATGTACTTCACTGCTTATAAATGATACCTTCGTAAAAGAAAAGTTATAAAAGATGACTCAGGGAAAGAGCATGGTTATACATAAGCTTAAATGATAAGTCTAAAAATTTTTGTTTGATGTTATAAAGAGTGAAGTATTGAATGCTTTGAGTGAGAAGACATACTCCAGTCAGTACTTCATGAAGATGAACAAGAAGCACCAAACAGCCTTCCAAGACCCATCAGCTCAATCAGTCACGAACCTCTCTCAGTTACTGAAGTGGGAACAAATGATTAGGTGTCTGGTGATGAATAACGTGGTATCAACAGAAAAGCTTTGATTTAATGGAACATGGCATATGATACCAGAAGGCTGATAAAAATGAAATGTTCCCTCTACCTAGATTGTTTAGCAAGAAACCTAATGGCCCAACACATTGGTAAAAGACCTCACGGCAGTGACCTACAGTTAGAAGGGGTCTAGAAATTTGTCAGGGCACTAACGGAAAGATGCACCCAATATTGGACACCACTACATGTAGCACACATAAATATGTGACTTGGATATTGTAATATAGAGAAGCACAATCTCACAGCTACAGTCAAGATAGGGCAAGAAAGAACACGGGAATTAAATATGGCAAATAGCATATTTTATATCAAAGAATGAGATCTATCAGGCAGGTAAAAGGGGCAATTAGGAACTCAATGTAGCATTGTACATGATGTTTAATTTCAAAATGCTCTCATATGAATAGGAAATAAGAAAAATTGACAGAATTATAGGAGAAGGTATTAATTATCATTGGGATAAATGAATGAGCTCTGAGAATGCCCACTTGTAAAGAACAGCTCTGATTAAAACTGAAGATTTCTATGCCTTGTAAATAAATAAAGTCTGTGCCCATGGATATTCAAAACCTAGGCACAACTTGGTGCCTGAATGAAAAATAACTATATATCTGCCATTGTGGAATGACCTGGGAATTCCATCATGTGACCAGCGCACTGGTTTCATTAATGAGGTTCTTGGCATAAAAGTTAACTAGTGAGATCGAAATAAACACACAGACTCAGTTACCTTTTTCTATGACCAGGTCCAAGACGGCTCCCCCTCTGGCTCCCACCTCGAACCACCAGGCAGGGCAGCAAGGATTACTCAGGGCTAGCAGGAGAGAGAGAGAGGGAGCACGCCAGGGAGTAGCCTTTTATTGGGGAACAAATTCAGGGGAGAATTCCATCCAATGAAGGTTGAGGAGGACTGCACTCTAAGGTCAGGGTCCGTGATTGGCCCCCGGGGTCAGTGGTCAGTCAAACCCCCATATGGACAGGCTCTCGCACCAGGAGAGGGTCGGGGAAAGCTCCAACACAGTTTAGCCAGAGCGCCTCAGACCCAAACTGGGAGTTGCCCAGTCACATGTGAGAATGGCTCCCCACACTGGGATACATTTGAGAAATAGACAACTAGAGTTTGCCTCTTCTGGACTCAATTCTAACCAGTATGAATACAACTAATTGGCATCTGTGGACATGACAGGGCTGAGGTCCCTTAAACCTGCTTTGGAAAACATACTTAAAAATGTGAGTTTAATATCACTTACTCTTAGGGCAAAGTAAAGGTCATGGATGAAAATAATTGAGAAACACATTTTGTTTGCACCTAAAAAAAAAAATAGTCTGTCTAATAAATCCCTCTTTCAGTGGATCAAATATCCTTGGCAGGTAGTGTTATCACTGGGGCTACTCAGGGATGTTTGGTTACAATGGCAGAGTGTGGGAAACCATCTATATTGGGAGAGGGGAATAGTGCAAACAATTTGAAATCTATCTGCAAGGCTAAATATGAACCATTTTCAGCTAGTGTGATGTGTCTCATAATGAGTGCCAAGCCCAGGAAAAAGTCATGTCTAGTATTTGCCTGGGTTATTAGTTTTCAAGGGACAAAACCAAAGGCTTAGGTAAGAACATTTTCTGCATATGTTAGTTTCCCTTTGGTTTAGCTTAGGCCAACAAGAGAGAAAAGTCACAACTTGTGAGGCTGAGAAGGCCTAGCATTGAAACAATCACTTCTGTCCTTCTTTAAGGAATTAGAGCCAATAGTAATAACAAGGATGTAGCTAACATTTCTTTAAGGTTGCCGTATGCCTACAACTAGATGACCTATTTGTTTTACATATGTTAAGTCATATGCAAATCCTATACCATTTTGTGTAAAGGACTTGATTATCCAAGGATTTTGGTATCCTGGTTGGGCAGGGGGAATCCTGGAACCAAACCCCCAAGGATACCCAGGGACAACTTGTACCACAACATAACCTAATCTATCCTGATTACTGGTATGCTAAGAAGGTGGTGTTTGGGGTATGCTCAGCCCCTGGAAGAGGTACTGTCTGTGGAGAATTTAAAAGCAATAATAAGGCTGTCTAATTATTGGACTGCTCTTTGGCCATGTGTACTGGCAATTCTAGAGAGTCACTAATAAAATTATTCTTCCCTGATGGATGATTCTGCTCCATAGCCACCCTTCCTCAACCCACATGCCATGGATCTTGACTAAAAAAATTGGTAAATGTAAATAAGTATTGACTTATCAAAAAATAAGTGCAAGCTTATTTTTTTAAGCTGAAATAAAATCTTTAACAATAGCAGGGTTGAAGAGAGGGTATTCAATAGGTAAAGTATACCAAGGTCCTTGTTTTGTTTAGGAGGAAGGTAGACTCTAAAGGGGAAATTAAAAGGTACTATGATTGGAGTGTAATTGAATATTAATTTGATATACTGATTATATTTACTTAACTATTCCCAATATAAAATGGTCCCATTCATTCTGCCATTAAAACACAATATTCGCTTAACATTGCCATGTGCCTGCAATTGAGAAACTAATGTGACTCCATTTTTGAGAAACCAGCCTCTACCTCAGAGCAAAGCCTGTCCAAGGAAGGGGGCATGACCCTTGTCCTTGGAAAAAACCACGGAGCATTCCTAAGCACATACCCATCCTGCTGAATTGTTTGTCCATAAATAACAGGAGAGGTCTGAGGCTCCAGGTGTCCCTGACTCAGTTAGGCTAGGTGAGGACCCATAGCAACCCCCCTAGCAACCTCCAATCAGCATGCATTGGGAATGGTTGTGAGTCTAGGCTGGAGCTTGCAATGAAGACTCTTGTGTGATTGCATCGGATTCGGCTCCTGGAGGTCTATTGGGGTTCAGGAATCTGGCATAACACAACTAGTTGACCTATTTGTTTTAGATATTAAGTCATATACAAATACTAAGCCATTTTATTTAAAGAACTTAATTATCCAAGGATTAATGTGTTATACCACATTAATGGTTTAATGTGGTTGGGTGATCCTTTATATTGCTAACCTAGCTTCAAGAAAAGGGGCCTATTTTTGACTTGTTTTTCTTCCTCTAATAATTATCATTACCTTTCTCAGAACTTCCTATTGTTGCTCACAATCCAGTCACTGAGGGACCTAATAAAACGTTGCAGTTCAGGTACATCCACTTATGATGCTGCTGGAGAGTTTGCACAGTTTGTCTTGATCTGACAGCCAGTCCTTAAAAACAATCACTAGCATTTCCCCACATTTAATCTTAATGTAATTTTACATATGGCTTCCTAGTTCAATTTCTTGGGAGAAGGGGGAAAATGGAGGGATCCTCAGAATCACTGCCTTCCAGTCTTTCCCCACAAGGGTTAAGGAGTTCAAAGGCATCTTTGAATGGAAAACTCCTTTTTCTTTTTTCTTTTTGAGAGGGATGGAGAAATGGTGTGTAATTCAAACTAAGATTTTGCACCTAAGGGCATTTCTAATTTTGAAAAACTCAATACCCCCAAATCTAAACTTTTAAAACAAGTCAATTAGGTAGCAGTTACAAAAATGTCTTGATTTACAAAAGGCTCCTAATTCTTATAATTAGTCATCTATTTACACTCTCTCATTGTTTTTGAAAAATTTCAGGAGTCTCTTTACTTCATAAAGCAAGCATGGTTTTTAAGAATAACTGATGATAAAAATCTTTTGGAGCCAGGTGTGGTGGTGCATGCCTGTAATCTCAAAGGCTCAGGAGGCTAAGGCAGGAGGATCACAAATTCAAAGCAGCCTCAACAATTTAGTGAGGCCCTAAGTAACTTGGTGAGACCGGGTCTCAAAAAAAAAAGGGTGGTGGTGGTGGTGGTGGTATGGGGGCGGGGGACAGGTGGTAGAGATGTGGCTTAGTGGTTAAGCACCCCTGGGTTCAATCCCTAAGAAAAGAAAAGAAAAAGAAAAAGGAAAGAAGAGAAAAAGCAGAAAAAAGTCACATTGGAAAAAAGAGAAATAGAAATATTCGTAAAACAAAAACCATCTAAAATCCAAGTCACTATCACCACGCTGAGGTATTCCTTGCAGTCTTTCAAGCACCTTTTATGTGTGTGTGTGTGTGTGTGTGTGTAAACAGTATTTTTAGAGCGTGCATTTAACCCCACAGGTCACCAAGAGCAAAGCAGGCGTGGTCACCGCAGGCTGCGCCCGCCTCACGGAGGTGTGCGCAGGTCAGCACCTACCCTGATCTGCGGGTTGTAACTCGCTGCTGGATTGCAGCGGGCTCCAGAGACACTCCCTCCTTTCTGGTTTCTGCTCCACCTCTCTAAACTTTCCAGTTTCAGCCGCAGATAATCTCCTCGGCATCTAATTAGCTCTAGCCCGCCCACATTCCGCTCCAAAACAAAAATTTCCCTTCCAGCGGGAATCACGTCTCGGGCGGGAAGACGGAGGTCTCTCCTGTCATCAGAGCGCGGACCCGCCACAGCGCGCGCTCCCTCGCCACCAGGCCCCGGCCGGCCCCGCTGCGAACGAGCCGGCCTCGGACGCGCGCCCGCCCCCTCGGACGGAGACGCGCAGAGGAAAGCGCGCGGCCGTGAGCCCCAGGCGCCATTTTGGACTCAGGGCCGAGGCGCAGGGGACCTACGCGTTGACCGCAGTTCGCTGAGAGCTTCTCTGGCCGGCGACGGGGAGTCCCGGGGCAAGGACGCGGAAGACAGCGTGGGACTGAGAAAGAGAGCTTCTCTCTGGGCAGCCAGAGCCGCAAAGGTGGAGCCGCGTTGGCGCCCGCCGCGGGACCAGCGCCTCGGATGCGGGCGGAGCGCGGGGGGCCGTGGCGGCGGGAGCGCGAAGCGGGGGCCCCGGGGGGCTTCATGTGAGAGCCGCGGGACCAGCCGCCGCCGTCCCCGGAGCCCGGGGTGGTGTGTGGGGGAAGCCGCCCCCGGCAGCAGGTAATGGCGGAGGGGCAGGGCCGGGGCCCCGCGAGATGGTCCGGGGAGGGTCCGCCGTTCGACTGTGGGCCGGCCCCGGGGCGCGGGCTCTGGGCTGCGGGCGGGCCGCCCCCGGCGAGCGCGGGTGGGAAGCGAGGCGCGACACGCAGATCTTGGAGCCTGCTTGGGGGCGTCTCCCCACGGTGCTGGCTTCAAAACATGTCAACAAGGCGTGGTGCGTGCGCGTCGGCCGTGTGCAGCCTAGCCGGGCGGTGTCATTAGTTTTGGCGGAGGCTGGTGACTGACACAGCTGAGCTCTGCCTCGGCGGAGCTCTGCCCGGCGTGGGCCGCGCCCGTGCAGGTAGCTTGAGAAGTCAGAGGCACTAAGATTTCAAAACAAACTGCCCTGGGTAGGGCGCCTGAGATGTCACAGAAAGCCAATCCGTGGAGGTGACGCAGGGAGGAGGGGACTCCTCCGCCGCGTATCCTAGTGGAAAACTTGGTCAACTTATGTGGAGCAGCTTGGCGCTGGCTCTCAGCGGAAGCAGAGGTTAGGTGGAGTTGCAGGCAGAATCAGGAAGCCGTCCAGTCAATAATTGGGAGAGGTAAGAAAGATTTTAGTTTTTGTTGTTAATGGTGTCCAAGTGACTCAGGTAATTTAATTATTTTTTCCTCCTTAGGAAAACTGTAGTTTCTGTTATTCCTGAGTTGTTTATAAAAATGCCATACACTCTGGGTTGAGTCTACTAGGTATTTTTGCCACCATGCTCTCACTGCCATTTTGAGAGCTTCTTTTTCATTGTTTTATTTTTGCATTTCAAAGAACGCATATTAATTTTCACATTAGTCAGAATATAAAAAGGACATAAAAGAGTGTAATGCCAAAACAGGACTTTTTGAGCTAAATACAAATGGGCTTGTATTTACTGCACACCGAGTGTACATTCAGAGCCTGGCATTGAGGCACACACTTTTAATCCCAGCTACTGGGGAAGTTGAGGCAGGAGTATTGCAAGTTCCAGGCCAGACTGAACCCTGTCTCAAATTTTAAAAAAGGAAAAGAAAAAGGTCTGGGGACCTAGCTCAGTGATGGAATCTTGCCTAGTAAATGCATAGCCCTTGGTTTGATTCCCAATAGGGAGTGGCAAGGGATTGTGTTCAATGAGGGGACATATTCTGTTCTTTAACTGATGAGCAAATTGACTCCTTTGAGTTTCTGGAAATGCTGGTAGCTCACTAACTCCCTGGGCTGCTCAGCTAGTCTTAACGTCATTGCTTTTGGGAACTTGCCTAAAAAGTTGTGGTTTTGGTGCTCTAGAAAATCTCTTTGACATTTATTCCTATTCAAATGTAAGAGGTGTGTTTCACCTTGACTGAAAGTTGGGTATATAAAATTCTTGATATAAATTATTTGTAGAATATAGCGTATGCTCTGAATTGTTTAGCTTTCTATACAGCAGTTTCTTATGTAAATAAATTTAATTAAATACTTCTGAAAGCATTAGAAATTTTTACATGAGTAAGTGAGACCAATTTGGAAACATTAAAAGTTTTTATTAGGGGCTGGAGTGGCTCAGCGGTAGAGTGCTTGCCTCATATGTGTGAGGCACTGGATTTGATCCTCAACATCATATAAAAATAAATAAAAACAAAATAAAGTTATTGTGTCCATCTACAACTAAAAAAAATTTTTTAAGGTTAATAACAGTGGGCTGGGGATGTGGCTCAAGCGGTAGCATGCTCACCTGGCATGCGTGTGGCCTGGGTTCGATCCTCAACACCACATATAAACAAAGATGTTGTGTCCGCTGAAACCTAAAAAATAAATATTAAAAAAAATTCTCTCTCTCTCTTGTCTGTCTCTTTAAAAAAAAATCAAGTTTAATAACAGTAAGGTGTGCACTTACTGTTATTTTCATGCATAAACGAGGATAGTACAGATGACATTTTTATTGCTATTTGACCTTACATTCTTCAGTTGTTTAATATACTGTCATTATGGCATCACTGTCATAATACATATGACAGTTTACAGACTTTTTTCAGCTATTTATAATCTAGTAAGTGCCTAAAATATACTTTGGTGGTCACATAATCTTTATATTTAGATCAAGAGATACTGTACCTTAGTGTTGTATACATTTTAAAGAATTTGTCAGCTTTCTCCCAGCTCAACTTGGAAGGTATGGAAATAGACTTTATTTAAAACAGGACAGTATTAGACAAAAGAAAGGTTCTATTGTTAGGACCAAAAAGTATTATTCAGAATTGTTTGAATACGATTGCCCTTTTATTTTTGTTTGTGTATCCATATACTTTAAAGTAAAATGAACCATTCTGTTTTTGAGTAATTCTGGTTTTAGAAGACTTTTCCAGGAATAGGTGATAGCCTTCAGTAGTGAGATGTAGAAACTAGGAAGACTCCTTCATTCTCTTTTGAATCTGTGTCTCAATATTGTGAGTAGTTTTAGGCAGTTAGAAGAGAAATTATAAGCCCTTGGAAGCAAATTCTTTGTTCGTCGACCCAAATTGTATATGCTAAAATTAAAGTCTTCAGGATAAATTAAAGCAGAAAAATGGGTCATAATAATAATAATGTTATCTCAACCTCTAGTGGGACATTTTTATTAGGAAGGTTTTTTTTTTAACTAAAGATTACATTGTATATTATTCTACCTCTCCTCTTTACACACTTAACAAAAAAAATCTGTTCTTAGATTCAAACATGTTTCAGTCCTCCATAAATACTTTCTTGCTTGACATCTCTGTCATTCAGTTTTCTTCCTTCCTCTCCCCTGCTTGATAGGAAATCCATCATTTACTTACTTTATTCACATAGTTAGAGTAAGAACAATGAGGAATAGGGAGTTTATTGAGCATATATATATAAGCCTCTTGGACTAATTTTCATTGCCAGTGGCCTCTGCCATTCTGTTTCTTCTACTTTCCAGCCCTCAGTTCTCTTTCACAAATTTTGCTAGCTTGTTACAGGAAGAATGTGCAGGGATATATTTAATTTAGGCATGCATATTCATATCCTTCATCAGACACAAGATCAGAAATTCTTCCATGCTGATTTGCCGGGAATAAGTTGGAGCCCAACTATTACCCTGTCAGCACTGCTCTCTAGAAACAAACGGAGAATATTCCAGGAGTACCAATGAATGATCTTCATTTATCCCATTTAGCTTAAAGCCTGCTATACTTTCGAACTAATAAGACTTAAAAAAAAAAATCTGATTATAAGGTAAGATACTGAGGTTAAAAGCAATATGTAAAATGTAGAAAGAAACAGCATATTGTCAAAATAAAAACAGTTGCCTATAATTTCATTACCCATTTTTAATCATCATATAATTTGGCGGGCCAGGTCTGGTGGCATAAATGACTGTAATCCCAGCAGTTGGGAAGTCTGAAACAGGAAGATTCTAAGTTCAAGGCCAGTCTCTGCAACCTAAAAAAGGTTGGGGATGTAGCTCAGTGGTGAAGTACCCCTGGGTTCAATCCCACACCACCCCCACACCATTTTAAAACAAAAATAGGATCATTCTTTATCTTGTGATTGATAACCTGTTTCTATTGTGTGGTATGCTTTAATGTTTTTAATTCTGAACTGCTTTTCCAAACCAGAGTTCAACAGTCTCCTTTTTTTTCCAAAGCCTAATACTTCATTCCTCACAAGGACTTTTTATCTTGAACCTGTTTTATAAATTGAAGCACAGTACAGTCTGAAGTTTATTCGAAGCCATATAGCCAATGAGAGATGGAGCCAGGAATTAAATGCAGGGAACTTGATTCCGGAGCCCATTCTCTTATAACAACATTATTAGCTATGGAATAATAACAACATTATTATTAGCTATGGAAATACTGTCAAAGAAACAAACGGAATGAAGGTATTAAGAATACATAGACTAGCCAGTTATGGTGTTGGGTGCCTATAATTCCAGTGACTCAGGAGGCTGAGGCAGAAGAATTGCAAGAACAAGGCCAGCCTCAGCAACTTAGACCCTGGGTTCTAAGTTGCCAAAATAATTACCAAAAATAATCCCCCCCCAAAACATAAAATAAACACATATGTGTCATTCAGAACTACAACATGGGAAACTACAGTAGTAAGTGATATACTGAAAGAAGAAACCACATTCCAGACCAAACATTTCGTGGTAGGGTGAGTTTGCTTACTTTTTTTGCAGTGCTGAGGATGAAACTCAAGGCCTCATGCCTTCAAAGCAAATGATCTGTCTTTGGACCACATTCCCAGCCTGAGTTTTCTTATGTTTAACAGAGGTCACAAAGTCTAGCAGTAGCATATATCACGGACTGTTCATTGTGGAAGATCTTTTGGCTACTTAATTCACATCCTCTCTGGAGGTTTGAAGACCCTGGTCTGCCTTGGACTTAAGAAGTCAATATAGCCAATATCTTAGATTTTTTTTTTAATGAAAAACTTTTAGAAAGTTTCATTGTAGATTCCCTTTTATATTCAATTTAGTTAGTTGACTACAACTTTTGAGATGTAAATTCTTGGTTTAGTTTCAAAATCATTTGTATTATGGTATAAATGCTTAAAAACATCTCCCAGAAATATACAGAATTTGTAAAACTGTAGTTTTTCTCTTCTGATATTTTTCATTATAGCTTGATATTCTTCCTGAATTGCTGATCCAGTTCTTTGTTCATATTTCATTTAAATATACAAACGCAGTTACATATTTGGTGACAGAAAATTTAATTTGGGGGTTATTTTTATTCAAAAGTTTAAGTGGAATGAGAAAAAAATGATGCATTTTTCTAAATAGGATGAAGCGAGGAGGAAGAGATAGTGACGATAATTCATCTGAAGAAGGTTCCACAGAGAAATCAAAGAAACTGAGGACTACAAATGAGCATTCTCAGACTTGTGACTGGGGTAATCTCCTTCAAGACATTATTCTCCAAGTATTTAAATATTTGCCTCTTCTTGACCGGGCTCATGCTTCACAAGTTTGCCGCAACTGGAATCAGGTGTTTCACATGCCCGACTTGTGGAGATGTTTCGAATTTGAATTGAATCAGCCAGCTACATCTTATTTGAAAGCTACACATCCAGAGCTGATCAAACAGATTATCAAAAGACATTCAAACCATTTACAATATGTCAGCTTCAAGGTAATACTTTAAATCTTTCTTTTAAAAAATGAAGCATTTAAAATAAATAAATAAATGAAATCATTTTTAGCTTTTGTGTACTAGTTTAGAACATCCTCTTATGTCTTTAAAATATTTGCCTTTTAAGGGAACGTACTTAAAGATACAAAGTTACTGTATTACTTTAAAAGCTATTATAAATACTTGTGACATTTAATGAAGTTTAATTACTCCATTAGAATTATTAATAATTTCTTACAGAGAGTGAAAGCAGCTCCTAAACAAGCATAAGTCATTGACTAAAGCTATAACTGAGTTATCACAAACAAATTTGAGGAAAAAGGAATATAAAATAAATAATAAAAATCAGGGAGATTATGATTAAGTAGAACTTAATTGCTATTTCTTTCAAGCAGGAACTGAGTATTGCTAATTTTGATGAATTTTTGATGAGATCTTCAAACCCAAAGATGACAGACACCTTTATTTAAAAGGTTTAGATAAATATATTTTAAAAATAAAGAATGATACTTGGAAAAATGTCATAGGAAACTGTTTGCTTATTTTTTTTTTTTGCTGGAAGGGATATATCAGAAACCCTCCAATGATGTAATAGTGTAGTGGGGTAACTTTTGAGGTGTCCAGAGTACTTTTCAGAAATCACAGTGCTTTGTGTGTGTGAATATAGAAGTTTGTTGTGTTGTGTTTTGGAGAATAATAATGAAATATTAGAATAATGAAATATGTGGACCTGCTTACTCTGAATCCTTAATAATAAATTTTGTTTGTTGTAGCAAACAGATATTTTTTTTTTTTTTAAATATTTATTCTTTAGTTCTCGGCGGACACAACATCTTTGTTTGTATGTGGTGCTGAGGATCGAACCCGGGCCGCACGCATGCCAGGCGAGCGCGCTACCGCTTGAGCCACATCCCCAGCCCGCAAACAGATATTTTTTATAATAGTTGTTGAGAAGGGACAACACATGAATGCCTGATTTACCTGTATGTACCAGTTGCTAAAGGTGCCCAGTTAATCCTAGATAAAGCAATGGTTCTTAACCTAGAAGCTTCTTACCTTAACTAAATAAAGGCTGATCTTCCCTCCAAGAAAGTCATTTCCTCTTGGATTACTTACCTGTTTATTCTCTCATTTGTGTCTAAAAGCTAGGAGAGCCTTGGTGATAGGAATGGTTGAGTAGATTGTGGTCATTCTGGAAAAATGCTCAAAAGCACTTAGGTCACTAGTGGTAGGATTGACAAGTAGCAAAAAAAAGGGGGGGGGATGCATATCAAATAGTCGAACAATTCTTTTTCAAGTTTTTAAAATTAATTAGTTTGTTATGACAGCAGAATGCATTACAATTCATATTACACATATAGAGCACAATTTTTCGTATCTCTGGTTGTACACAAAGTAGAATCACATCATTTGTGTCTTCATACATGGTCTTGGGGGTAATGATGTCCATCCCATTCCACAGTCTTTCCTACCACCATGTCCCCTTCCTGCCCCTCCCTGTCCCTGCCTCCCCTTTGCCCCATCTAGATTTTATCTAATCCTCCCATGGCCCCCATTCGCAACCCCATTATGAATCAGCATCCTTAAATCAGAGAAAACATAAGGCATTTGGTTTCTTGGGATTGGCTTACTTCACTTAGCATTGTATTCTCCATGATTTTATTCTCTTTTAATGCTGAATATATTCCAGTGTGTGTATGTGTGTGTGTGTATGCATTTTATTTAACCATTCATCTACTTAAGGGTATCTAGGTTGGTTCCACAGTTTAGCTATTGTGAATTATGCTGCTATAAACATTGATGTTGCTGTGTCCCTATAGTATGCTGTTTTTAAGTCCTTTAGGTATAGACCACGGAGTGGGATACCTAGGTCAAATGGTGTTTTCGTTCCCAGTTTTCCAAGGAGTCTCCATACTGCTTTCCATTTGATGAGCAATTTTTCTATGGATACATCCCATACAAACTTTGAGACAGCCTTAATATTTTTAAAAAACGTGCTTACCTGAGATTCAAATATAATTGGATGTTACTTGGCAGTCTTAATTTTAGCAACAAGGGCATGGGATTGGTGAGGGAATCAAACAAAAATCCAGGAACAGTTCATCCTCCTTTGCTTAGGGAAGAGACCTGAAAAGCCTTTCCTTTGATTTTAGTCATCTTTGAGTTGCCCAGGAATGTTCTAATGGCAAATGCTATAAAAAGAAGAGTATAAACACTCATCTGATCTTAAAGATAAATTCTATACAGTAGATTGGCTGGGTTAGCTTTATTCTTTTATAGCTCTTTTACACAATTTAGGTATATCCACCTTGTATAACTCTCATAAAACTATTTATTCTCTAATTTTGACATTTTTATTAGGGGCTGTTTTATTTTTTTTCTTGAGGAAATAGTTTTTTGTTTACACTTTAGAGAAAAGGCACATCACAGGATTCTTGGCTCTTGATATTTTAGACAAAGAGGTTTAGAGTTAATAGTCTAGAACAATGGTTCTAAACTTTATGTGCAACCGAATCACATAGAGGGCTTATGATGAGAAAGATTGCTGGGTCCTACCCCTAGAGTTTTTTATTCATATGGTCTGGGTTGGGTATTAGAATTTGCATGTCTTTTTTTTTTTAATTTTTATTTATTTATTTATTTTTAGTCATACATGACAGTAGAATGCATTTTGATATATAATACATACATGGAATGTACATACATCAATCATATTGTCTATTCTATAGAATTTGCATGTCTTAATAGATTCTTATGTTGATGTTGATACTGCTGATCTAGGGATCACATTTTTTGAACTGGTGTAAAGAAACTTAACCAAAGGATAATCTTATAAATGGCTCTGAGATTACAATGCAAATACTACATGGGTTTTACACCATCTTCTAAGAACGTTTTTGTGGTAATGTGTCTGAATCTGGAAATTAAAGTAATAGTGTTACTTTTAACTGTTCTGTTTTTAAGATGCTTTTTTAGCCCAGGGAATAACTATAGCTAACTTTTTAACATCCTTTGTTGGGTTTTTTGTTTGTTTTACTGTACTATTCGTACAGGAAATATCTAGGCAAAAGAATAAATGAGAGTAACTACCTTTTATTTTGGTTCAGATTTTCACGCTTGTTTAGTTTTTGGACACCCTTATTCTACTTTATATTCATCTTTTCATTAAGAATATTGCTGACAATTCGTAAGTTATGGTTCATTTGAACATTCTTAATAGATATTCATTTGTTTCTGATGCCTTGAAATATTTATTATGGACACTGTTTATATGCATTGTGTGATGTTCTACCAAATATATAATTATTTTTCAAAGACTATAAATTGATTTGTTTCATCAGTTTATCAAGTTTGGAATAGATCACCTTAGGTATCAACTAAATAGGTATCTTATATAAAAAACTCTCTCTCGACAATTGCAACTATAAATTTCTTAGGGGGACTCAGAAGGCTGAAGTTGTAGGGGAAGATAGACGACTGGAGTGCAATAACCAATAACTTTCTTGCTTTTGTAAAATGAAGATAAACAGAGAGAAATGTAAATATATGCATGGGTTAAAGGGTTTTTTTTCCCCCCTAAGGTGGACAGCAGCAAAGAATCAGCTGAAGCAGCTTGTGATATATTATCGCAACTTGTTAATTGCTCTTTAAAGACACTTGGACTTATTTCAACTGCTCGGCCAAGCTTTATGGATTTACCAAAGGTATCTGCTGGTTTTATTTTATTAGCTGTTATTGAGAAATCCAGTGAAAGCCTTACCATTTCTTGAATTGACAGTGAGATAATAAGAAAATATATATATATAATGGAAAAACAGTTACTATTTAGAATTTTAAGAAATACTATTTTAAAAATCCTTTGTAATTAAAGAGTAAATGCATTTACAGAAAATTCTCTAGGAAATGAAAGAAAGTAAAACTGAGAAACAAGCATGTCAAAGTAAAGGGAAATATAGATATTCCTTTTTGGGTGGTCAGAGCATATCGATGAGATTAAAATCAAAAGTTGAGAGTGCCAGACTTGGGAGCCAGGATAGCCTACCTTTATAAACACTTCTGGCAAATGTTCTGTTAAGATTTGCTCTTGGGCTGGGTTGTGGCTCAAGTGGTAGAGGGCTTGCTTAACACACATGAGGCGCTGGGTTCCATCCGCAGCACCACATAAAAATAAAATAAAGATATTGTGTCTACCTAAAACTAAAAAATAAATATAAAAAAAGGATTTGTTCCTTGAGCAAACTGAGAATCAGTACAGCTTGAATTAATTTACTTTACTGAAAGAAAACATTGTTTTTGAATAGTTAAATGTTTATATTTATTTATATGCTCTAATATGGCCCTGTATATAGAGATAGTCTTTCTCCATAACCATTGTCTTAAAATAGAAAAATAAGAAACATGCATTTTTAGAAGGCTAACTGCTAAAGTCCCCTAAGTTATGTCAGGTAATGTTCAGTAGGTTGGCATCCAAAAATAATTTGAAAGTTTTCTTTTTAGAGTACACCACAAACCAAAATCAAAAAAACCAAAATATAGACACTCTTCAAAACACCTAGTAGTTAAATTTACCAGAATGATTCAGGAAATAATATTACTAAATTGAATGCATATTATAACCCAGTTGATTGTTCCAAGAGAATAGCATTACCAGATGTATCACCAGTTTATATTAAAATTTTGATTAATTTTTTTTTCTTTTTTTGGTGGTAGTGGGGATTGAACCCAGGGCCTCATGCATGCTAGGCAAGTGTTCTACCATTGAGCTATATACCCAGTCCTTTGATTATTTTTTTTTAATTTTCATTAAGTCTGTACATTTGGAGATAAAATGTTTTCCTCATTGGTTAAATAAAGGAAAGGGAGGAGAATTTCTTTATTTTAACATTATGAGAGCCTGAGTACATGAGTTAAATCACTGCTTCTCAGACTTAATTATGTATAAGTTTTGGATTTCTATTCCTATTCTAAATTTGCAGTGATGCTAAGTCTCCTTTCTGTAAATAGTCCTCATGACTCTTATTAAGATGGTTCAATGAAGCCAAATGCAGTGTGCATACTTGTGATCCCTTCTCTCGAAGCTGAGGCATGAGGATTACAAGTTCAAGGCTAATCAGGGCAACTTACCTAGCTCTTGCCTCAGAAAATAAGGGCTGGGGATATAGCTCAATGATAAGTGCCTCTGGTTCAATCTCCAGTACTAAGGATAAAAAAAGATAGTTCAAGGACCACTGCTGTAACACTGAGTTACATGACATAGAACCACCCTCTTCATTTAACATGGAAAATGAAGTGTCCTGAATTGATTTTTTTCTATATACCTGCCGTGGTTGAAAACACACATACTATTCGTGTTTTCTCTCTCTCTCTCTCTCTCTCTCTCTCTCTCTCTCTCTCTCTCTCTCTCTCTCAAACACACACACACACACACACACCACAGTACCATATTGAAGTTTTTTTCTTAATACTTGGGGTTTTCACTGGGCAAATTTTAGTTCAAAATTGAGAACTGGTTTTTGTGTATGTTTGTGGTACTGGGGGATTGAGCCCAGGGCCACATACATGCCAGGCAAGTGCTCTACCACTGAGCTACATCCCCAACCTCTAATCTGAGAACTACTGATGTAGCTAGAACTGGTTCTTTCCTTATTAAATAGGCCTAAGGATGTTTATATTGTTCTTCTTTTCCTTATATGACTTTTTAGAAACAATTGAAATAGGTATTGCTCTATACTGGAATTCCTAAGAGAACTGAAAAGAATATTGAAGAAATATATTTGTCCATAGCTAGATCAGGGCAATGGTGAAAGGGGTCAGTGTTGCAGTCATGAGCATACTGATGAACAAATGTTATTGCACAAGATACAGGTGAGTTTGATATAAAAATATTGGGAGAAAGATGTTAATACTTAAGTTACTTAAATCAGAATTCTAGCAGTATAGAGGGAAAAAGGAAGTTATAGATTGTGACCAGCAAGGTAGTATTTGGTTATAATTTTTTTCCGTTAGCCTGCCTTCATCCTTTATCACTGCTGAACAGAATTTATAAAGCTAGGTGAAGAGTAAAATTGGTTATGTAATTAATTTTATCAGAGTGTGTATTAGCCTTTCTTTCTTTACTCTCCCAAATTCTTTGTCCATTGATTTATAGCTTATCTCAGCTATTATTTAAACTCACATACTTTACATGTTCTGATTTCTGTTTTCTATAGTTGTTCATTTTGGTCAGATTCTGTATCCAACAGTTATTTACATGCATAGGATAAATTAAAATATACTCATTTAGCATATTTGTGAATAAAATACATTGAAATTCAGTAAGAGACTTGAAAATGTTTTAGATAATTTAACATGTTTGAGGGTGTCTTAAATTTGAAATCAAATTTAAGTATGATTTTGGTTGTTTTAGAATTAAATTTTAAACTTCCATATTCCAAATGAGTCAAGATTTGAACTTGTTACTAATTTTTAATGATTGTCCCAATAATTGTTGCTATTTTAATAGACATTACTATTAAATTTAGTGGAACTAAAGTAGGGTTTCCAGATACAGTAAAGTGTCTGAGAAGTATTCTTTTGTTGTTGTTGTTTTTGCTTCTGCTGGTTTTGGGGATTGAATCCAGGAACACTTTTCCACTGGTCTATATCCCCAGGTTTTTGTTGTTTTTGTTGTTTTTGTTATTATTGTCATTTATTTTGAGACAAGGTTTTGCTAAGTTGCTGAGGGTCTTGAGTTTGAAATCCTCCTGTCTCAACCTCCTGAGTTGTTTGGATTGCAGGCATGTACCACCATGTCTTGCAAGAAGTATCCTTATTCTTGTTTCCAGAATTCCTGTTTTTACTTACCATGATTTACATCCTGAGGCTTGGAATTCATTTATCTTTCACAGGTAAAATGGCTCTGCTCAAAGATGGTAGTCACATCTTTTTATCATACTTCCAATAATAGTATAAAAGTGTTAACCCTTTAACAGTTTTGAAATATATCATTAGTATTGAGATGAATCATAGCTGATGTTATAAAGAAATCCCTAAGTTGTCTTTTCTAAAAATTAAAACGGTGTTTTAATCTTTTTTTGCTTTTCAGTCTCACTTTATCTCTGCGCTGACAGTTGTGTTTGTAAACTCCAAATCCCTGTCCTCACTTAAGATAGATGATACCCCAGTAGACGATCCATCCCTCAAAGTACTAGTGGCCAACAATAGTGATACGCTCAAGCTACTAAAAATGAGCAGCTGTCCTCATGTCTCTCCAGCCGGTATGTTGTATTTCTTGCCAGGTATATTTTAGTTAAATGTATTGATTTGTTCATCAAATTAAAGAAAACTGTGTTTAGTAGTTTGGTAGTTCTATTAACCCACATGTAGTTGTTAGGACTGTTTGTTCTGCATAAGAATATTTTTAGTGTCATAATACAGTAGCATAAATTCTATAGTGTTAGTAGCTTCTACATGGACCTTCAGTTTATTTGGCAATTTGTGTATAGCATATGCTAGAATATAAATAAATTTTACAAAGAAAAGAAGACAGAACAACATGAGATCTGACTGAGGTATTTCTGAGATTTTCTCTAGTTATAGTTGAGCTAATAGGGTAGAATTTGAATCAGAACAGCCACATAATTGCTGCTGTTCTCACTATGTAGAGGAAGAAAAGTTGTACTTAAGTGGTTGCCTTATATTTTGTAAGATAATGCTTTTTCCAAGTTCCATTTCAGAGCCAAGAACCCATCAAATATGTGAATAGTGTTGTAAGAGCTCTAAATTCTCTTACATAAAATTTCCTAAGCATTACTACATTGTTCAGTTTGAGATTATTTAAATTCCAAATGGCTTTGTGTTGAAAAGTACAAATGTGATTTTCATATTACTCTCTGTTGCTTCATCCTGAACCCTCCCCACTATTGACATCCATCCCTCTGGAACTTTAGCTATATTGTAAACTAAAGCTCCATATTCTCCCAAGGAGATGACTCCCTCTTGGTTGGAGATTATTTTTCCAAATTTTCCACAAGTGGGGTTTTGGTGATGGGATGGCTAGATGTACTACTATATTTTCCTAGTTGTCTCTGCCACTTCTGATTTATCATTGAGAATATCATAAAATAGAAGTTGAGAATAGGCTTAATAGGACTGCATATAGCTCGGTTGGTAGAGTACTTGCCTTGCATGCACAAGGCCCTGGGTTCAATCCCCAGTTCTACTAAAAAAAAAAGAAAAAAAAGAAGAAGAAGAGTAGGTTTAACAGTTACTTCCTATGTGATCTTTTTTTTTTTCCCCCCCTTATGGTCCCTATTTTATTTAATCTTTTTTCCTACTCACTCACATGTGGGTTTTATTTGAACCCTGTGGAACTACAGTTCTTTATCTTTGTTTGTGGTCAGTCCAAACACTGTAACATGTGGAATACTTTTTAATTATTATTATTTTTTTAGCATCTTAACCTAGCCAACTTGAAATGCAGTCCTCAAAATTCAGCTCAAGTGTTACCTGTTTTAATCCCCTCCTTCTCTCTGTTTTAGATCCCCTACTTTTGTGTTCTTCCATAGCTCTGTAAACATAGTAGCATTTGCCCACACTTATGAGGTTTTGAGTCTATTTTCTCTGAGAAACTATAAGCTCATTATTCTCTTTATCCTGCTATTTTCCATGTTCATTTATTTTCATTAGTTATACATATTAGTTCAGATAGTATTTTGGAATAATTTTTCCATAAGGAAGGGAAGAGAAAGACCATCTGTAATGCTTTTTAATTGACATGTATAACCACAGAAGGTAACTTAAAATTTAACATATTTGTATAGATTCTGTCTCTACTTGGCTTATTTGGATAGTTTTTCTCTAAGTTGAAGTTATGGGCTGTTTTCTATTCTACTTTTTACTGAACACTGTATGAAACTTTTTTCCATTTTCGTACAGTTATTACAATTATTTATTACCTCTAGACACTAATTTGACACTAGTGACTTGTTTCTTTTATATCATACTGCAGATTTTCCTGTTTTCTAATTGTGTCTACAGTTTCCTTTGATGGTTTTTCTTTCATTTCTTTCATTTTGCTGTTTCATTGTATTCTGTACTGGATACTTTTTTGTTGTACTCTCTAAAATTTTGGGCAATATTATTATTTTCTGTGGGTTCAGTTACGTTCTATGTTAATAATTTATATTTTCAGTTTCTCTGGAACTCCAGAGCTATGTGTTAAAACTGCTGATGGCCCAGTGCTTTAGAATGTCTCATTGGTACTTCAAACTAAAGAATTCCTTTTCTCCCCCTTTTCAGATCTCTTGCTCTGCCCTTTTTGCTATCTCTGTAAATTGTAGTATCCATCTAGTTGTCAGGAGCACACGTTTGACCCCTCCTACCTATACTTTCTATCCGTTAGTTACCAAGATCTGGTAACACAAGATTCCATCACTAAAATAAGCCTTTGAATCCTACCTTTCTCCATCTCCATTCTAGCAGCTGTAGTCTAGACCACCAGAATCTTTGCAGTAGTATCCTCTTAATTGATTTCCTAATTTGTAGCATTGCCATTATCTAGTCTTATTTCTATGCTATAGGCAGAGTTATCTCTTCAAAATGTACATTTGATTTTTTTTCCCTCCACTTTTCTTTAAAACTTGTTTTAGGTAAAAGTCTGCATTATTTACATAGTCTTTCAAGTTTGGTATGATTTGGCCCTTACTTTATTGGTATTCAACCTTTGATATTCTTTTACTTGCATAGTATGTTTTGAGCTCCTTTAGTTCTTAGAAAGCTTGTCCTCTCTTCCATGTCTGGGTATTCTCAGATGAAATATGATTTTCTTTCTTTCTCCAATCTCCATTTTCACAGCCTTCATTCTAAAATTTTCAATCTTAACTGTGTTGTTCTGGGAAATCTTCTCTGATTCCCTTATTATGAGCTTCATATTACATCCTTGTTTAATTACTCACTATTCCTATTAGGTAAGTATAATTGTTCCTTTGGTAGCTCTGCTATCCTAGCACCAGTGCTTGACGATAAAATACTTAATTATCAGCTGAGCTAGTAAACATTTTAGTCACTTAGTATTCTACATGGTTGATAAGCCAACATTTGTATTGTAGTTCTTTGAAGGTTGGATACTTGTTTCTGCTTTTCTGCTGTAATTTAAAAAATAATTAACTATGTTGGCACATAGCATTTTGCTTCTATGAATTTCTTCCTTCAGAAAAAATTTTAAGAAAAAGTACCAGGTCAAAAGTTCTAGTTTTGTTTGTTTTAATGCTTCTTGCCATGCCCCCTCCCTCCAAATGAGTTGTATTAATTAATATTACTTAATAATACCCTGGCCTGACAGCTTTATTGAACCTTATTTACCTACTATACAGTTTCAACTAAAGTTTACAGTTTACTGATTCAGAGTATATTGATGAGTAGTGTACCCATTATCTGCACTGTAGATTTTAGAATATTTTCATTATTCCGAAAAGAAACCACATAATCCCTTAGCTCACTCCCTAAAACCTTGAATCCCACTCAGTCCTGGGCAACCACTAATTTATTTTATCTCTGTAGATAAACATTTTCTGAATATTTCATATAAATGGCATCATGGCTATATGTGATCTTTTTATCACTTAACATTTCAAAGGTTCATTTATGATGTAGCTTGAATTGGAACTTCTGTTTCTCTTTATTTCTGTGTACTATTCTTATATTTGTTTGTATGGGTAAACCACATCATACCACCACATTTACCTATCTGTTGGTGGATACTTGGGTTGTTTTCCATCTTTTTTTTTTTTTTTTTTTTTTTTTTTTTTTTTTTGAGGGGGGGATGTGCTGGGAATTGAACCCAGGGCCCTTAATCACTAAGCCACATGCCAGCTCTTTTTATTTTTTTGAGGCAGGGTCTCACTAAGTTACTTAGGGCCTCACTAAATTGCTGAGGCTGGCCTTGACTTGTGATCCTCCTGCCTTAACCTCCTGAGCTGCTAGGATTGTAGGAGTGCACCACCGAATCCAACTGTTTCCACCTTTTGACTGTACTGAATAATGCTGCTGTGAAACTTCATGTCTCATTTTTTGTGTACATATTGTTTAATTTCATTTGTGTATGCACCTTGTATTGGTATTACTGGATCATATAGTTACTCTTTTTACCCACTGAGGAACTTAACAGATTGTTTTTCAAAGCAATTGCACCATTTTACACTAACTTACATTACTCTCCCACATCCTCACACTTTTTGTTTGTTTTTAAATTATAGCCATTCTAGCTAGTTGGTGTGAAGTTGTCTTTCATTGTGGTTTTGATATGCATTTTCTTGCTGACACTTGATGTTGAGTATTTTTTCTTGTGCTTATCAGCCATTTGTGGAGAAATATCTATTCAGATCCTTTGCTTATTAATGAGGTTATTTTTTTTATGTTGAGCTGTATTAGCTCACCAGTTTTATTTTATCCTTGTCTCTGTTATGTTAAATATTTCAACATTTTTAACTTCTTATGGTTTTCTATTACTGCATAACAGACTACAAAAAGAGCAGCTTATCCTGACACATACTTATTAGCTCCATCCTATAAGGCAAAATAGTATGCAGAGCTCTGGTGGCTTCTTTACTTAGGGTCTTAAAAGGCTGAAATTAAAGTGTTGGGCAAGGTGGGCTCTTAATCTGGAGGTGCTAGGGAAAATTTTACTTTCACACTCAAATTGTCTGAACTCATTTCTTTGAGGTTGTAAGACATTTCTTTTCTGGCCACTCACAGGAGGTTGCTTGGGGTCTGTCTCTGCTTTTAGGAGCTGCCTGCATATGCTAAAGCCATCAACAACATGTTTAATTAATTCCCTTTTCGCTTTGAATCTCTCTGATTTCCTTTTTTGCAACCAGCCAGAACAAACTGCTTTTGAAAGGGCTCCTATAATTATATTAGATCTATCTAGATAATCTCTATTTTATAAGGCCAACTGTGCCAGATAGCATACTTATGAATATGATATCACATTCACGATGCTAAGGATTAGGATGTGGAATCTTGGGGACCATATTTAGAATTATGCTGCTACAATTGTTTTAGTAGTTATTAGATGGTATCTTAAAAGTTTCTCTTATTTGGATCTTTCCAATTTTCCATATGCTTGTTTTCCCTTGATATCAAGCCTTTTTGGTATTGCAAAGAACAGAGATGAGCTCAGGTTACCTTGGGTGATCAGGGTATATTTACTTATGGAAAAGAAATTGGCAGTGGCTGAATAGTAAAAATAATGAACTGCCAAGGTCCACTACTCCCTCTTCTGGTAATTTTGATATTAGTGATTGAGTTTATCTCTTCTGATTCTATTTACATATCTTCTTCCACTCGTATTAAGTTTTGACTTATTGGTGGCCTCTGTCTTTTCACTTTCTAAGTAATAGTTAAATGCATGAACTTTTAGAGTAACTTAGCCTGTGTTTGTATTCCAGTTTTGCTATCTTTAGTTAGTTGCCACAACACCAAAATAGAAATAATATCTAGGTTTCTAATTTCTTTTATAGTGCTTGTGGAATAACTTATTTATTATTACATATTTGTAAAATAAATAATAGATGAAAGTATGATATGTTTGGTTGTTCTTATCCCTCTTGTCTAAGCGTAAGAAATGGATTGAGTGGGTTATCATGTAGTATAGGGTGACATTTGGGGACAGAATTATTATACTAAGCAAGTTTGGGTATCAAATATTGATACCTTTGGTAAAGTTACCTATTGCTAGGGTAATCGTTTTGGGCGAATCATTGTGCCCTGAGTCTAGGGAACTACTTAAGGAACTACTTTCTGGGTGTTAGAACTTCAAAAGTCATAACTAATCTAGATTTCCATTCATTTGAACTGGGAGGTTTTCTGATTATCTTTGACTAATTTATCTAAGGATAATAATATTTTTCCTTGGAAACTTGATAAGCTTATTACTATTCACAAATTGTTGATCATTTGATGGAGTTTTACTTTGCAAATATTTTATTCGATTACATAAATGTTTTATATGGTTATATCTTATCCTGTTTCTTTGTTAGGATTAGGTTTTGAGTTTCAAAAAAAAAATGTCCTTTTGGCCTCTATTACAGTGACTATGTAATTTTTCTCAACCTGTAAGTTTAATGGTATTTAAAAAAAAATAAGGCAGTATACATGCATTAATAAGATAAATGCAACTGTATTTTTAAAATGTTATTTTAAAATTTTGCTGAGTTGACACATGAGCCTCATTATGACTTAGAAGTTCTTATAGATAAAATTAATCCTAGCTTTTAAATGTGACTGACTTTCTGATAATCCAACTGATTTTTTTAACTATGGTTTTGTGGTAAGGGAAACGAGGCAGAATTTTGTGGGCTGTGTAGTGTATTTGATAAAATTTTTGAACAGATGAACTTGTACAAATACTGGCAAATAATTACCTTTTTTTCCTTCCAAGGTATCCTTTGTGTCGCTGATCAATGTCATGGCTTACGAGAATTGGCCCTGAATTACCACTTACTAAGTGATGAGTTGTTACTTGCTCTGTCTTCTGAAAAACATGTGCGATTAGAACATTTGCGAATTGATGTAGTCAGTGAGAATCCTGGACAAACACATTTCCATACTATTCAGAAGAGCAGCTGGGATGCTTTCATCAAACATTCACCCAAAGTGAACTTAGTGATGTATTTTTTTTTATATGAAGAAGAATTTGACCCATTTTTTCGTTATGAGATACCTGCCACTCATCTTTACTTTGGGAGATCAGTAAGCAAAGATGTGCTTGGCCGTGTGGGAATGACATGCCCTAGACTAGTTGAACTAGTAGTATGTGCTAATGGATTACGGCCACTTGATGAAGAGTTAATTCGCATTGCAGAACGTTGCAAAAATTTGTCAGCTATTGGACTAGGGGAATGTGAAGTCTCATGTAGTGCCTTTGTTGAGTTTGTGAAGATGTGTGGTGGCCGCCTGTCTCAGTTATCCATTATGGAAGAAGTATTAATTCCTGACCAAAAGTATAGTTTGGAGCAGATTCATTGGGAAGTATCCAAGCATCTTGGTAGGGTGTGGTTTCCAGATATGATGCCTACTTGGTAAGGACTGCATAATGTAGGGCATAATGAAAAGCACCTTAACTTTAAGCAACTGTATTATAATAAAGTTAATTTGCTGTAGTTCTGATATAATTCTATTTTGTGGCACAGAAATTTGATATCTTCAATGAGAATTGTTTACTAGAAGATCTATAAATCAGTTTTGGTCAGAAAAATCCATGTGTTTCTTTAGCCTGTTAGCAATCAAATCTCATTTAAGTGAAGAAAAAAAAAAACCTGATTTCAGATTAGAAAGTAATAACCATTTGTAAAGATTAAACAGTTCATAGTCTGAAGGAAACAAAACCTATGTATTATAATATCCAAGAAGCAAGTACTAATAGGTTTTCTGAAATGTTCTCTATGCATTTTTTAAAAAAATGTAAACTTGACATTTTAGGGTCTTCAGTTATACATACACCTGTTATAAGGTGTTTAATATAGCTCAGGAAAGTGAGCATTTTGTGAGAAAAATGTAGGATATATCCATATCTAATGAAAAAGATTGGTTGAATGTTCTCATATGTTTCAAAGCTCTTTAAAAAAAGATGTATAAGTAATTGGAACTCTTAGAAAACTGATAAATGTCACACAGTGGTTATTATAGAAGGATAATACACAGAGCCAAGATCAAACTGAAAGGAAATAAGTGGAATATAAAAGGTAGACAGTATTTAGCTTTGTATAAATCTAGGTTTTTTCTGTAATCAGCTAAACCATATAAAGTTCTCTTGTGATATGTTACTATGTTTGTGGCACTTGAGGCATTGTATGTAAAGTAAGGAATGCTTTACCAGTTCTCCTTGGTTTTGCCTGTTTGCTTAAACTAGTTTTGAAGTATTTTACTATAATTGAAATGAAAAGCTTATCTACTTTTAAAAAGCCAAGTTGAAATAATTAATGGTAGACTTAAAAATGTTTTATAAATTGTTTCCAAGAAAGAATATTAGTCTCCAGTGAAGTTTAGTGATGGCCTGTCTTTCCATTTTGGAATTATATTGTTAATATAACTAGAATTTTTTTTAAAGGAGCACTAGTATATAGTTGAGCATAAATAGAAAATATGAAAAAGGATATATTTAAGTTCATTACCTTATATTTGAGTAAACAGTGCTCAGTGAACTGGAAAATTTTAATAGAAAAATACAGTTTTGTGATTGTTAATTTGGTTAAACTAATATTTTATATTATTTAAGTTAGCATTTTATATTACTTTAATATGAATAAAGTTAATTCCATGCATTATAGACTCTGTATAAATACTAAATTTGGGGCTATATTTAGTATTTAGTTGTTTTAGATACAATATAAATTTTGATTCTGGGTACTATAGTGTAGTAGATACTCCCCTCCTAAGAGAAGTTAGAAGTGATTTACCCCTAATGAAATAATACATTAATGCTTGAAATGGCTCTTTTCAGTGGTGTGACTTTTAGAAAGTATTTTGACAATTAATGGAAGCTAACAATCTTTAAATAGATGACCTTCCTAAGAATGAAATAAAAACTATTTTCTATATAACTTATGCTTTTCAAAAGTGATATTTTGCCCTTTGGTCACATATAAATGAGAATAAAAAAGACTCACCTGGACTTGAAAGTTAAAAGCAATTATTGTAGTATTTCCCCCTCCACCTTACCAAATAGTAAAAAGCTTTGATTGTACAAGAAATACTTGTACCTCGTGGATTTTTTTTTTAACTTGGAAAATGGATATGACACTACATGATTAGTTCTACTAACCAAAGCTTTATTTGAAAATTTACTTTTTGTACAAATTGAATTGTATAATGCTTGAAATACTTTGTCACTTTATAAGCTAAATGCATAGCACTTAATTTGTTTATACTGTAAAATATGTAAAATGCTTTTATCAATTTGAGAATAAAGATAGTTACTAATGTTGTTGTATTATTAAAAAATTTTTTCAGGGGCTGGGGTTGTGGCTTAGTGGTAGAGCACTTGCCTAGCATGTGTAAGGCACTGGGTTCGATTCTCAGCACCACATAAAAATAAATAAATAAAAGGTTCATCCACAACCAAAAATAAATATATTTTTTGAAACTAAGAAACCTTAAGAATTTTTTTTTGAAACCACTCAAATACATATACCTATTTTGATTTTAAAACTGGTTAAGCTTGGACTGTGGCTCAGTTGTAAAGTGCTTGCCCAGCATATGTAAGACCCTGAATTCAGTCCCCAGCACCTCAAAAAAATTACCCATAGTTTATGGTTTAGTTTCAAATCTGTATTTGATAGAATATTTAACATTAAACACTTTATGGTAGACTGGCTTTTTTGAATTTACAATGTTAGGCATATGGAATATATTCTTGAAATAAGCTCTCATGCCTGTGAAATTTACCATGAAATGTAAATTTAGTTTTTACATTTGTACAAAAAAAAAGGTTAATTAAAAATATAGGCCTTTCTTCATTTAGAATGAGAACTTACAAAACCAACTTATAAATAGAATTCTTAGTCTTAAAGTGTCCTTGAACCTTGCTAGCCTTTTTAGAGAGAAATATCTCTACATAAATCAGAATAGTTTTTAAACTATAGAAATTCTTTTCATCTCCTGTCTTAAATGGGCTTTAGAAAAAACTCGATTTTCTCTGGTATTCTGGGCTGTTTTAAACATTATCAAACCAATAAGCATGATTGAAGATGAAATAATTTCCATTCTAAGAAAGCATTTTTGTACTTGTGATAGATCCCAGGTAATATGAGGGGCTGGTTTAGATGTTACTGAGCAGTTGGGGAAAATCTAACATGCTAGCTGACACCCAGCTTTCCTTTAAAGAAGACATAAAGCCATTCCCTGCAAAGGTGAACTAAGGGATATTCCTTAGAATATCAGCTCAAGAAGCAGAAAAAATCAAAGTGATAGAGTGCCAGGGATCCCAGCAGCCTGCAGCAGGGCCCCGGAGATCCAGGCCAACTGATTCGCGTGGCCTGCCCTGCGGCTACAGAAGGCGTGGCGCCTCAGTGAAGCCATTAATTAGCAAGCAGGGAGGTTAGGGAAGGCCATTAGGTGGAATCCCACCAG